TCAAGTACTCGTCTTTGCATATTCCATTCGGAAATGCAACATCACCTGCTGTTAGAAATGAAATTAAGGTCAAAGTTTTACCTCTCATGTAAAACTTTGAACCTAAACTGTGTTTTAAAATTGTTCCAGAGGATAATAGTGTCCTGTTAATGACAGATCACAGGTTGGTTGAGATTGGATGGGACAGCTGGAGTTCATCTGGGCCAAGCCTCCTGCTCCAGCCGGGCCACCTAGATCCATTTGCCCAGGACTGTGTCCAGATGGTTTTTAAATATCTCCAAGGATGGAGACTCCTATGCCAGTGCTCAGTCACCCTCACAGTAAAAATATGTTTCCTGAGGTTCAGATGGAACCTCCTGTCTTTCAGTTTGTGCCTATGGCCTCTGGTCACTGGTCACCACTGAAAAGAGTCTGGATCCATCCTTTTTGCACCTTCCCTTCAGGTGTTTATATACATTAATAAGATTCCCATCTGAACCTTTTGTTCTCTAGGCTGAACAGTTCCAGATTTCTTAGCCTTTTCCCGTATGTGAGGTGCTTCAGTCCCTTAATCACCATGTGGCCGTCTGTCAGAGCTCTCTCCAGTATGTCCATGTGTCTCTTTTACTGGGGAGCTCAGAACTGGAGACAGTTCTCCAGAGGTGGCCTCATCAGGCCCTCTTGGCCTTGCCATTTAGCCAGTTTTCAGTCCACCTATTAGTACAGCTTTTGTAGCTACCCTGTGTTTGTGTGTACTTTTGTTGTCTCGTGTTATTGGTATATCAAATATAACCTTCATGCAAACACTTAAAGTTTTGAAGCAGTCAGTTATACCAAATACTACGACTTATCACAGTCATCTAAGTTCAGTGGTTTCTAAGTAGCAGAAAAATTGTTGGGGATGACAAATACTGACTGTTGCTGCTCCATTTGCTGGTTAGACACAACACTGAGGTCTTTTTAGATGAGTCTCTAACAGCAACATGTTGGGGAGGAATTACTTTTGCATGAGTTTAGATACCCAAAAGTCATGCTACTGTTCCGGGATAAAGGTTCTTTAACTCATTTGTGAAAAACTGCTTGTGTCCATGCAAGTTTTCCCAGAACTGGTGTTGTGATACCAGTGTTGAGCGGCAGGGATGCTGTAAACAAAGCTGTAAACAGAGTTCAGATGTCTCCCCCTTTATAAAACACTAGCTGTCCTGAATGTGCGAAGTCCTTCAAAATGAACCAAACAACCCTCTGCAAGCTTCTCTCATGTCCTTCCATGTCAGATCAAAATTGTTACCCGTTATCGTTGGCTTATGGGCTGTTTGGGGATACAATTCTAAATATGGGTTGATCCCAGATTAAAATTTCATTTTTAAATAATTAAAATATTTACATAAAGCTTTTCTTTATTTAAACAACAGATATGCTGAGGTTTCTTAAAAATCTTGTTTGCTGAAAAGCATATAGAGTTTTGATTATCATGCTCAGTTTTTGGATAAATGCAACACTATTCTTCTTCTCCATTCAAGGAACTTTTGATCTCCACTTTGGAATTTCTCAGTTGTTCTTAAATGATTATACTCCACTAAGAAAAGATCAAGTTCGGTATAGTAGTATGTATGTGTATGTAGGTATATATAAATAAATACATTTGAGTGAAACATTTCTGTAGTTATTTGCTTGTTTCTCTGGCTTTATTCAGAGAAGAGCCATAAAAAACCAGACTGGATTGGGCACACCTTTCCCAAAGTCTGGAGTTGGGGAGATTTGGCACCATTTTGCTACCTACGCTATCCTTACCACACCACTCATTCCTGAATGCTTACCAGCAGGAGGTAATTTCTGAAGACCCTGTGAAATCTGCAGTGATACAAGTTCTCTGCTCGCTGCAGGGACTCTTAAGGACTATATAAGCTAAGAGTGAACAGTGACATATTGCTAACAAAGACTTTAGGGAGTTGGACCAGTCTTGTTCACTAGGACTTTTCAGCAAGCTTTGTTTTTAAAACAGCTTTATACATCGAAGAGTCCCTGTTCCTGTTGTGGGTGGCTGGTTGTAAGGAATAGGATTTCCCAGTTCTGTTCCTGCCACTGCTTTGTTAGAGTTATGCTCAGATCTTTTATGTACCTCTTTGTGATGTGATACAAAGTTTTTTTCAGAAAGGGAGATCCCTTTTTCATCATTTTAGAGCCCATGAGAACTGCAAATGCTGGTACTTCTGCTGTCTTTGTGTATGTGCATCTATACTGTGTATGGAGCTGAAATGTTGGCTGGTATGTAGAATGAAGGCCTGGTACAGCAGCCACCACTACAGAGCAGGAACAGTAGTGGAAAGTAGTGCAGTACACTGTCTGAGAGGCTCTTAATTGCTGTGTTTAACTCTGGGAATGCTGCCATTGCTGTCATTTGCTTTATTGATAGAATATGACTGTGATTAGCATGACTGAATCAGCCCTTAGAGGAAATATGAAAATGCATATGTTATGCTAGCTGGCCTGGAGAGGATGAAATAAATTTTCTGGAAACTAGCAACCTGAGTGACAGTCTGAGCCCTACTGCATGTTTCTTTCTATTCAGGGACTTCCCTATTATCTCCATGCCTGTGCCCTGGGCTGATGGTTAAGCAGAAGCAGTCAGGGGCCATGAATGTTGCTAATAATCTACAGCAAAAGAGAATCAACATTTTCAAAGTCAAGGAAGAGGCCACAGACTGAAGCACAGAAATGAATATTGGATGATGCGTCAAAATCTATGTGTATAATGGCTGTGTGTTGCCTGTGTCATCATGAGTCATCTACTGTTTATTATTCACTTGCATCAAGATTAAATCTGCTGGTACAGTTGGATTATATGAATGCAGGTGCACACACAGCACAAATAACTACAAGTTATAACCACCAAAAATCTCTATTTGTGTATCTGTTCTTTAGAATAAAGTCAATAAGGAAGGAGAAATTGCAAGAATAGAAAGTATACTGAATTCTTCAGTATGCCATTTGTCTAAGAAAATGAAAATTGTAACTTTTTTTTTTTAATTGTTTAACTAGGAAAAAAAGAAATACTGCTAGTAGCTCTTACTAGCTATTGTTGCCCTAGAAAGATCATGTAAGTGTTCTTTTCTTCCTGGGTGCTCATTGTTTCTACAATGGAGTTCTCCCTCATGACTCTTCCATTTTCTCTTTGTTTTTCATGACAATATTTGAGAAAAACTGAACTTGGTCCAGTTTCTTTCTGTACACAGTGCTTTAAAGCAAAGAGCAAGAATGCTTCTGACACAAAGCACATTAATCCCTGTTCTCACTGGAAAACCAGGTGAGAAAGAATATTCTTCAGCATGTTCAATCACAAAAGAGATCGTAGAATTCTCTTGGTGAGATCACCAACTGTTGGTTTCCCTCTTCTCTTCCTTTACTTACTCTGAAGCTGGGGGACACATCAGTCTGTTATTTCTTCATCTTCTCTGTGCTGCTTTTGACAGTAAGTAGGGATGCTATAAAGCAGCTATTAGCTGCTACAAAAAAGAATATGAAGATTATTTGAAGTTGCCATTATTTTATCTGGGGTCATCTGCGCAGAGATCTACAGAGATATACAGTCTCCCCTCTGTGCCCGGAAAAATCTTGGAGCAGATTCTCCTGGAAAGAATACTGAGGCACATGAAAAACAACGAGGTGGTTGGTGACAGCCAGCATGGTTTCACTAAGGGGAAATCCTGCCTTACCAATTTGGTGGCCTTCTATAATGGGGCTACAGGACTGATGGACAGCAGCAGAGCAGTTGACGTCATCTACCTGGACTTGTGCAAAGCATTCGACACTGTCCCACATGACCTTCTGGTCTCTAAATTGGACAGACACCAATTTGATGCATGGACCACTCAGTGGAAAGAACTGGCTGGATGGCCACACACAAAGAGTTGTGGTCAACAATTCAATGTCCACATGGAGACCAGTAACGAGTGGTGTCCCTCAGGGATCGGTGTTGAGACCTGTCTTGTTCATCATCTTTGTTGGTGTCATGGACAATGGAATTGAGTGCGCCCTCAGCAAGTTTGCCAATGACACCAAGCTGTGGGGCTCGGTTGATACGCTGGAGGGAAGGGATGCCATCCAGAGGGACCTGGACACGCTTGTGAGGTGGGCCGATGCCAACCTCATGAAGTTTAACTAAGACAAGTGCAAGGTCCTACACCTGGGTTGGCACAACCCCAGGCACAGCTACAGGCTGGGCAGAGAAGAGATTCAAAGCTGCCCTGCGGAGAAGGACTTGGGGGTGGTGATTGATGAGAAACTCGACATGAGCAGGCAGTGTGCGCTTGCAGCCCAGAAAGCCAACCGTTTGGAATGAGACATTCCCAGAAGTCAGATCTGCTTGCTGCTTTTGTTTCCAAGAAGTGGCTGATACTGGAGGAGGGTCTAAACTAGAGAAACTTAGAGTTTAACTTCTATCCTCCTCATGTTCACCATGTGAGAGATCTGGGGTGACAGCTCATAAACCCAGATCACTGTTTCTCAAAATAACTGCTTTGTTGTGGTTATTGTATAGGATTCCTGAAGGAGAGCTCAGAGGCACATTTTGTGGCTCCTGTTATCCTAAGTGGAAGGGTTACATGTCAAAATAGAGGTACAAATGAATGGCATTCGTGAAACTCGGTCTTTCTTTTATGATCATGATCTGTTCTCTAATACTTGTTCTGGGTAATAAACATGAGGCACATCTTTTTCTGAAAAGATTATAATGAGCAAGGAAGATGTAGTGCAGAAGACAGAGGCATCAGGGCCTCATAAGGTAAAATATGTGGTTTGTGATAGTTCACAGCTCTGCCATGGTCCTGACAGGTCATTTTCCAGAAGTCATGGATGCATATTCTGCTTCCGTTTCTGTACTAAATAGAAATAGCGATGAAAAGAGCAGAGGAAAAAGTTAGTGTGGATAGGGGGAGCACTCCTAAAATTTACTTTCTTTCTCAACTACGAGAAATCTTTGAAGAGAGCTTTGGTGTCAGAAGGGCCTTGTTTCCCTAGTTTTGATGCTCCCCCTGCACCCAGTGTCAAGCTATTTGTACTTTCTGTCGATTTCTCATCTAGAGAGAAATCAGAAAAAGAAGAGTGATTTTCCTTTTGCATGGATAAATAAGTGCTTGATTCAAATGCACCTCTCCCTCTCAGTTGCTGATGTAGTCCCAGCTGTACATTTTAAGTGTTGACTGTGTTTCTAGTCTCCACACCCCAGCTGGAAAGATATGGGGAGGGAAAGGAAGAGTCAGAATGAATAAAATAAGAGTTTCATGTGATCACTATCCTGGAAGTGGTATTCAGCTTATGACTAAGCACCAAAGTTTCCCACTCTGTCTGGAGAGTCAGACATATGCTACAGAGATGCAAAATCAACAACCATTTGACATAGACATCTTCATCACTGGCCAAAAGCAGGGGCCAAATACAAGGGCTTTTAGGGATGGAGCTCAGACCCAACCACCTAAATCCCACTCAGACCTGGTCTCAGAGAAAGAGAGTGAAAGATGCCCTGACATACATTTAGTTTGAGATACTGAATAATAATAAACACAACAGTGAGGGAAGAAGTCTAGACACCTGCTTACCCTTCATGGCAAAATTGCATGAGAAAAATAGCATGGAAAATGGCAGTTTATACCTGATTTTCCAGTAAGAAAGAGACGGAAATGTGTGAATTTGTAAACTGGTGACAGAAATGGAAACTGAAGTCTTTAGCACCTGGCATGAGTTCCTGAAGTTGATATAAATGTTACCAGTCATTTTATTTTATTTTTTTGGCCTTGTCACTCCAAAAAGAAACAGTGAAAAAGTGCAAGTAGACAATAGCAATATGAAATTTGGCAATCTGTATGGATATGGTGTAATCTGGAGCATCTAGGTGAACTGTTACTTGTTACTTTCCATGTGGACTTTCCTTCATGTGTCCTAAGGCAAATCACCTTTTCAAAACTATTTTTACCTTTTTCAAAGGCTGTTGTCAGCAGCACTTTTAGAAACATTCAATATGATGCTTTTATTTGACATCCTATTTTCCTCATGTTTGATGCTGAACTAGCACTGAATGACCATCACAAAGGCCCAAGAAAAAGTTGGGTAAAGGGCAGCAAGAACATCATGAAGAGTTCATTAGGAAGTTGCCTGTATGTGTCCTTTGGGGATCCTTCTAAATTTCCTGTTTTATTTTAATTCTCTTGTTTCTAAGACACAGTTCAAAATAAGCATGGAAATAACCCTGTTGCTTGGGATTAGATGTACTTTTGATGAGTGCAGGAAGGTAGTTTGTACAGCAGTGCTGCGTAGTTTTCTCTCTGAGTTCCTTGGGATAAAGAGGAGTGCTTGTCAAAAACTGAATTCCCCTCCTCACCCCCAGTATTTCTACATGCCATTCCCAGAGTTCCTCGGGGTGACATTGCAATTGGACGTGCTTCAGTAAAGCAATTTGTAAAGTAACTTATATTCTGGGAGAACTGGCACATCGGAAGAACATCAGAAGAGGTTTCTTTTTCACAGACAGTGGGTGAACACATCCTAACCTAGGTGTACCAGTTCCTGAAATCTTTTCAGAGAAGTTCTTGTGTGGCTTTCCCAGCCTGCCTGCCCTGGGGTTGGGCAGTGTGGCCATTTTGTTCCTTCAGGTTCTTTACAGAAGTTTTACTCATAATGTCGTTGCATAGGAAGACCCTAGAAAATCAGTATCTCCAGGAGAGTTTCTTCTAGTTACAGTTTATAAATTCGAGGGGAGTAGAGCAGTAAGTTTACCATACATATACCATTCTTCTCGATGGAGCCCTAAAGACCTAAGCCTTTCTGCTCATTTTTAATGCAAAATATAACTGCTTTTTAAAATACTATAACATTAAGCTTCTGCTTGCAAAATTCTTCTCATACCTTTGCTGCCTTCTGAACCCATACGCTGTAAGAAAACATTATCAGTAAGTATCTTTACTTGTTGTCTCTAGATGTGTTTACATCCTTTATTTCTCCTTTCCTCAGCAGGCTATTCTAATCCTCACAGAGGTGGGATAAATTGATTTGCCTTGTGAATAATCTGTTCTGTTAACATTTTCTTAAATCCATGAAATTGCTAGGCTGTTTAAAGATCAGCACAGAGTGTTCATCTCTCTTTTATTTTGGTCTGTGTCAGGAAATGCCTACAGAGAATGCCTGGGCAATGGGACATGGGCTTCCAAGATAAACTACTCTCAGTGCGAGCCTATTCTGGATGACAAGGTCTGTATTTTTCTCTTCATTCTTATTAATGACAGTTCACAGCATACATGAATGCAAAGCTAAGCTTAAGGTTAACCTACTAATTTGGGATTTCTGAGACTCGTTCCATTTCTATCTGTGCAAAAAGTCCTCCCTGTGAATTCAGGCAAAACACTTATCCTCTTTCCATATCCCCTGCTCACATGGTTTTTAAAAAATGGTGCTTTATTACACTTTATCCCTGATGATGTATGTTTATGCAGATACCTCCTATCTTTGTTCAGGGCCTACAGCTGCTACAGTAAATGTTAGTAATAATAACAATAAGACCAAAAGCTTCTTTGGCACTGAAAAATAAGCTTTCACCAGCTGATTCCACCCTGTTCCAGTTCTGAGGCCTCATCAACAACTGGCGTCTCCAGATCTCAATGCCATTTTTCCTTCAGCAAATAAGTGGTGGTAGGCCACCAAACAGAAAGATACATAAAAAACAGTCTTGGGTCCCAGCTGTCTTTTAAAAGATTGAGCCAGTCTTGCATTATACAGAAGTTTACAGAATGAAATTAGCATATAGGGTTAAGCTCCTTCAGAAAGGCTGCAAGAAATTATGCAAAGTCCCTTTCTTGTCAAATGTCTTAGCTTTCCTTGGAGGCATCATGAACATTAGTCCTCACACAGTTTAAACCTTCAAGCCTTTCATGCCATGTTCTCTTCCTCCTGTTTTGAGTGCTACGGTGAGACATAAGCACACATGGGCTTTGTGCTGTCTCCCTGCCGGGAGTGACTTTCCCCTCTCAGAACGAGGGTAGAGCCCGGCAGCTCAGGCCTGTTTATGTTGTGGGGTTCACTCCACTCATTCTGTCATTAGACTTGTGCCATGCCAGTTGCAAATGGAGAGGAGGAAGACAAGGTCTTACCTGCTGAGGGCTGCTTGCAGAGCTAATCCAGATTTAGTACTCGGGAACTATCTGGACTAGTGCTATACCCAAAGCAGTCATGATGCGCTTTGGCTGTGGCCCAGTATCCATGCTGCAAGATCCATGTTGTTGCTGAATGTGGGCTTTGACAAGTGAGTCGAAAAAACAGATAACTACACACCAGCTGCTGAGGAGGGCCTACTCATGCCCACTGGCTAGGTAATTTGGTGGTAGGCCACCTCCCACCCTCTATTATTAGAGGCTTCTAGAAAGTAAGAAAAAATGTACCAGTACATGACTGCCATCCAGAGGGACTGATACGTGTTCAAGGTGGTATGGCATAGTGGAGAGCCTCCCATAGCAATTTAAGCTGATCTAAGTTGGGACCACCCCAGTGCAGCCCCTCCTTACTTTTCTTCCTCACTTAGAATGAAAAACTAACTTTCTGATGGGTCATTTTTCATATGTATCAGTTCCCTGAACCATCTTACTGCATTATTGCATCCGTGCTGGGGCAGCACAGGCAAGGGGAGAGAAAATGTGGTTGCAGTTGAGCAGGACAGCAGATCGTGGTATCAGACCATCTCTGACTGAAATGGATTTGCATTTCTGAAACCACCCTCTTAAAAACGAGCAAGATGGGGTGTGCATAACAGCTAGTACTGATTTAGAGAGTGGGGAACAGAGATGGGCGAAAATCTTTCATGTACTTTAACTGGTACTGGAGGCCTGAGCCTGATGGCAGCAGCCTGCTGTACCAGCTCAGGAAACTGCTACTGCATTTTAATTACAGTCCTTATGTGTTTGTCTGCATGACTCGAACAGTTGCTATCTCTGCACAAGCAAATACAGACAAGTTTTATCTGAAGAGGCTGGAGAAGTATTGTGACTAGAAGACAGGATTAGTTCCTTTACTCTGTTTTTGCTTTTAAAAACTTTGCAGCTATGGTGATAGTTAAAACTCTTTAAATAGCATGTTCCTTAAGCAGATGAAAGTACAGATGTTCCCCCACCCTTGTTTACAAAAGCTTAAAATCTAATTTCTTAGATCTTTAAAGATTTGCAACAAGCTTGCAAATATTAATATTTGTGAATATTTTTTAAATCTCTACATAATGCTCAGTGTTACGGATGAATACTTGGCTTGCTTTGTGATCTCAAAAAAAAAAAAGAAAAAACCTCATAGATTTTCCTAATCTTCCATTTTGATTAAAGGTGAGATGCAAGCACGCATGTGGGCCCATTGTTATTTGTTGACTGTTCCTAGCAGATGCTAAGCATCAGCCAGGAGTTATGCTCTGTGTTTCATGCTTATTTTTAACACAGAAAACAACACTACTTTCAGTTTTTTAGCACTCTCAGCCAGAGTGCTAAAGAATTACATGGTTTGACTTCAAATGCAGTGATTGATACCTGGGACAGGAACAGGACTTCTCAAGATCAACCCCATATCCAGGGCTACATGCTTTATCACAGAACGTTGATGATGTAGCAAGGGAATTTTCAGTTTTCAGTGGTGGGTCAATCTTGGGAGACATAAGGTCCTGTAACATGTATTCACTGGGTTACATTAATACATCATTGCTGTGGTCAAGACCTGTAGCAGTAGCTTATAAAGCTGTGCTCTGGGACTGCTTTGGTCCTAGGTTCCCACTTTGGCTGGGAATGTAGTTACGCAGTGTAGTTTAAAATGCCCCAGTGTGTCTCCATGCATCTGGCAGGTGTGACACAGGCCTTCTGGAATACGTGTGTCCTTCAGCAGCCGCAGCAATTGGAGGTCAGTCACCAGGACCAACTAAGGAGCACAGTCTCCTGAGTGCACCCCAAAGGGTGCCTGTGTGTGTGCGTAACTATTTCTAGCCTTTGCTTCAGATATTGATTCAGATATTGGGTAGATACCCAAATGTAGGTGTCCTAATGCCAGACTGAATCCCATCCTCTGAACAACCACTTGGCTCCTTCTCCAGGTACTGGAATCACTTACAGAAATCATTTTGATCCAGTTGGCTGTTTGATGGCATAATGTATGGCAAATGGAAAGCTTCTACTCAGCCTACAAGCTACTGTGTCAAAGGAACCTCTACTGCATCTGGCACAAATCTCTGTTCTTTTTAGAAGGAGACATCTCAGGCAGTAACAAATATATCTTAGCCTCCAAAAAGAGCTATAAATTAGGTTCTTTGTTCTTGTCTATGTGGTCTGTGGCATCTGGATATGAATTTGGTTCTCCTAATGTTCTGAGGTGGCTTCAAGCTGTGTAGCTGAGTTAGCACCATGCTGGGCTTAAGTTAATGTATCCTGCTTTAAGAGCACAGTCACATTAGCCACAGATACCCAGCTTCCAGCTGGCTCAGAGCAGGAAAGCAGTGACCTCAGAGGAATCCTAGGTGACAAAGATAGATAGTTCCCAGTTGCTTCTGAAAGCCTTTGGAGAGAGATATGGTGCCTTTAAACTCTACTAGTGATGAGATCATTCTGACAACAGGAAGAAATCTAAAGTGACTGATCTGGAAATGGAGTGCAGAGCCTCACAGGAAGGCATGACCTGTAAACACAGGCAGGACCTGTCAGGAAGTTCTGTTAGAAGGAGGAAGATCCTTGGCATCTGAAGAGCTAAGAGTGCTGTCATTATGTGGTTATTAGCTCAAATCACTAGCTGATTAGGTTTGGACAGGTGAACAGTCATGTCCTAGCCAAAGCAAAGGGAAAAAGGCCTCTAGACAGGACGACTGAAATCTGGCTGCAGGGAGCCCAGCATGCCTTAGGTTTTCAAAGCTGGTGCAGGTAAAGATATAAAGCTGTGCTTCCTCAGTTTATCTGGTAGCAGTTGGCTGGAAGATAACTCTGTGCTGTCTGGTATAACATGATTGTCATGCATAAGGTATGGCCTGGAACAGGACTCCAGTGGTGTGTCCTCCCGTGGCCCAAGAGTAAGGTTACCGTGTCCAGACCTCCTTTTCTATCTGCTTTCTAATGTAATGACCCTCCTCCTAAGCCTGAACAGGATTTAAACTTGCATTTTAGTGAAGTGATACATCTTCCTAAAAGCAAAGGAATATTGTGTAACAGTAGAAGGTTGTTGCCATTTCAAATGTATTGGTCTTCAAGAGGGTGAGACAAAGAGTTACGCAAGTATTTTATATGAACTGAACTTTGGCCACTACATGACTGATTCTAGGCATGTTTTTCAGCCCTGAAGGTGTTGTCTCCAGTTCTATCAGAGATGCAGATTGCACGTAGGCTGGTGGAAAGTGATCTTGCCACTCTGACAGCTTAGTTTTTCATAGGCATTGAGGCAGTTCTTGTTTCTATGAGATTTGAATTTGCCTTCAGGAAACCTTGTTAGTGTCAGCAACAGAAAAAATGAAAGTTGTGTCTGTTTTTCCATCAGCATCAGTACATCAAAGAGGAGCTTAATTATATTATTTTCCCAGTCATTTTCTTGTGTTGTGAGCCATACCTTCTTAAAGTTTGAGTGAAGCTGAAATAGTGGTTAGGAGCCAAAGGAGCGAACTGAAGGGTCAGATTCAAAGAACAAGATCCTTAGCCTAGGAGGAACATTGTCACCCTCCAGAAGATTTCTAGCACTATGCGAGCAGTTCTGGATGACACTCTTAGTCATATGGTTCAGTTTTAGTAGTCCTGTGAGAAGCAGGGAATTTGACTCAATGATCCTTATATAGGTCCCTTCCAACTTAAGATATTCTATGATTCTATGACCTGAATGGGCAAGTAAATAAGCAAAGCAGGTTGCCAGAGCTAGCTGAACATTACAGCATTGTGTTTCAGGTAGGCATATCAGGTCAAGCATATTTTCTTCCCCTTTAGATGTTCCTGTGATATAAGGATTAACAGAACTGGGTGTGGAATTCAGATCTTGTAGGTTTGGTTGTTGTTTTGCTTAGGTTTTGGGTTTGGCTTTTTTTTTTCCTTCAGAAAATAGGCCTGTGCAGGGGAAGTTTATTTTAGGAGGTTTTATAATAGACTTAAAAATACATTACGTGGTTGAGTTCTGTCCAGAAACAGCACATTACCACATGTGCTGAAGATATACACAGGTTTCATCACAAAAATGATTCCAAGAGCGCTTGCTTGCTCTCTGGCAAAGTGCTAGAAGATGCTATCTTCACAGAACAAAGGAACAAATTAACTACAGCTGCTGGTGGTAGTTTCATCCAAATATTCATTCACTGACAAATTCCATTGACTGGAATAAAAAGTTAAGGGAAATTGTTGGGGCAGAAAAAAAAAAAAAGAAACCAAGGAAGTTCAATCAAAATTAGAAAACTAATGCAACTTCCTTTATTTCATTTTTATATTTTTATCACAAATTTCTGTGGTTAGTTTTCAAAGGTCTCATTCTTCTGAAGTAGGACAACATCCCAAACTGGGGAAAGATCTGCTTAACCTGAAAAGAAACAAATGCTAAAACTAATAAAGAAAAAAAAAATATCCTTTTTTCAGGGAGATTTATTCTTCAAGCAGCAAACCTCTGTCAATTTTTGACCACCTTCAGTACCTATATGAATAGTGTTCTTCTACTTCTTCCTATCCATCAGGCAAAGAGAGGAGATGCTTCTCTTTTCTCTGAAGCCAGCAGCAGCCCACCAATAAAGAATGTTCCAGTTACTTCAAGGTCAAATTTTGGTCACATCACTAAATGCACTGATTTAGGTGGGAGCATTTTTGTACTTAATTTTTTGTTTACAGGATCAAGAACCTACCAATAATTTCCAGAGCATCCTAGGAAATAGATACTAATACATTAAGTTTCACCACATAATTGGGTCACTCCTAAAACCAACAGGATCTCTGATTCATTGGGCTCTCTCAAAACTGAAAGGACACCACAAGATGATTCCAGCTCTTTCAGTCTGCATTGGTTGTGCCCTCAATTTGAAAGATAAGAATCATAGTTTGCGAAGAACGTACTTCAGGGTATGGAAAGGGCTTATTATTTATTCTTACTGACAACTGTTTCATTTTTGAATGAAAACCAAACCATTTGAGTAGTAAAGTAGCATAACTTGGCTCATTAAGACCATGCAGAGGAGGGCCACAGGGATGATAAGGGGGCTGGATCACTTCCCGTATGAAGACAGGCTGAGAAATTTGGGGCTGTTCAGCCTGGAGAAGAGAAGACTGCATGGAGACCTCATAGCAGCCTTCCAGTATCTGAAGGGGGCCTACAAGGATGCTGGGGAGGGACTCTTTATTAGGGGCTGTAGAGATAGGGCAAGGGGTAATGGTTTCAAACTTAAACAGATGGAATTTAGATTAGGTATAAGGAAGAAGTTCTTGACTGTGAGGGTGGTGAGGCACTGGAATGGGTTGCCCACGGAAGCTGTGAATGCTCCAACCCTGGCGGTGTTCGAGGCCAGGCTGGACAGAGCCTTGGGCAACATGGTTTAGTGTGAGGTGTCCTTGCCTGTGTCAGGGGTGTTGGAACTAGATGATCTTAAGGTCCTTTCCAACTTTTAACTATTCTATGATTCTGTGTTTTATAACTTTTGAAAGTGAGAAGATGTGTCTTTGGTGTCTTTGTCACCTTAAAACGACAAAGTTTTAAAATAACGTAATAATGAAAACAAGAATTCCTAAGGAAATCAGAGAAAAAAAAGGGGTGGACAACACCCCTTTTTAGCTGAAATTTGGAAGAAAATGTGGACAAATCCCAAACTGAAATGAAACCAAGCCTGTACTTCTGTGCCTGGGCAGCATGTTTGGCTTATACATAGGCATCAGCCCTGGGGCTATTATATCATTTTAAAGTCAGGAAAAGTAATTACTGTTTCCTAAACTGATTAACTGTTCCTTAATGTCAGTGCTTAGAGAGTCATGCTGATTTAATCATGTTATCTCTTTACCTCCAGAGGAAGTATGCGCTCCATTACAAGATTGCTCTCATCATAAACTACCTGGGGCACTGTATATCAGTAGGGGCCCTTATAGTTGCCTTTATGCTTTTCTTGTGCTTGAGGTGAGTAACCTGTTTGCATGCTTCTAACTTGGTTGGGTGTGTGACACTTACTGGGTTACTCAAGCCCTCTAATAATAACACTGTCCAGGTCATGTATGATCTTGAAAAATGGTCATGGCTTTTATACAGATAAGCATTTACATGGATTCATTGACTGATGCATTGGATGAGCTGTAATGGTGGCTTCTATGCACAGGACCTAAAGTCTATTTGTATTCAGGAAGAGAACTTTATGTGATTTATTGATGCAGCAAAGAATTCAGTGAGTACACAGGGCTTCATTAAGGGCAACTAGGATTTGCGTGTGTCAAGTTGCAAGTTTGGGGGGCAAGTTTCAATTTTTTATAAGGCAATCTGTGATAACATAAATCATTTTGCATTCCCTGACAGATGATGCCCAGATCTAGACCAAAGGAAATGGAATGAAATCTTTCCATTTTGCTTTGGGTTCAATTTTTTTTTTTTTTCCCCATTAAAGAACTTGGAAGTTTTCTTAAATAGCAAGAGAAACATCTTTGGAGGAGCTTTATCCCCACCAGTGCTCATGAAATGATGAATGCAAATCAGTGAAACTGCACAAGAACTACTTTCCTTCTCTGGTTCAGTGGTACAGAAGGGAGTTTGTTAGGTCAAATGGATATGTCTGTGAAAGAAAATCTGTGGAGAAGAATTAGGGCTACAGGGAGAAGAGAAAGGATAGGAAGAAAGGAAGCTTAGTGGAAAGTAATACGTAGATGTGCATCAGTCATCATATGTATTGTATGTACACAGCGCAAGTCATGGGAATATATTTTAATAGGAGTGGCCTGGTTGGATATTTCTGTGTTATTTGTTGAATTGCCTGATTGGTATTTCTGTACTATTTGTGCTGTCTTGTCTCTGAGCTTAGAACCAACTGCACTAAGTGCTATGCAGGGATAATCCTTGAGAAAAATCTTATATATAGTAGCTTATATAGTAGCAGAGAAGAAACAGTTGGAATACCCACCACCACCCCCGCCACCAGATTACAACATGATGGTTGGCGGTGGCCTAAATGAGAGAATTAAAGCTTTCCTAGAGTGAAGCATCCCTATGAAGTCTATTGCTAAGTCTTCTTCTTGAGCATTCTGAACAAGAGGGTCTTTCTTATTAACAAACAGGAGTCTTCTTTCACGCAGAATAATCTATGCTAATGGGAATGTAAAAAAGCTTAAAATAGTCAGCGGGAACATTTATGGTGTATCAGTTTAACCTTCCATTTCAGCCTTTTTACTGTGTGTATAATGCTAATTCCCATAGTGCTTGGAGACCTGAATTAATTTACACTGAATAAAAAAATGCAATTATTCATTGTAACTATATTCCCTGCTATGTGCCTGAATCTTTTATAAATGTTTGAATAAATAACACAAAAGCAATTAGATAATGTAATATAAATGTATCCACATTCTAATGCAGAAGTAATTGTTCTGATATTTCAACTTTGATTTTAAGATTTAAATTTTGTAGTAGTTTTCAGCATTCATGATGACTGCAGAAAAACTTCCCTATACATGCTGTGAATCAAGGTAGTCCAGTCTTTCAAATTCCCCCTCTATCATGCAAAAAATACCTAGTGTTCAGCCAGCATTAATCAGCATGAATTAATCTACATTAATCTACAGTGTCTGTAGAGTTACATCTGTTTTCAAAAGTTCTAAAGATGGTCCAATTAAGGCAGTCCAGATTCATGTTGCATTACAGATTTCCACTACATAAATTCTAGGTTATGCACATCTTCATCACACTTACCTCTTCAAAGTGTCCCAAGAACAATGCAGTTTTGATAATTAAGTCCTATTACCTGGGGCTTTTTTAACTGTTTGTTTGGATGGAAGAAAGCATCTATTAATTCAGTGAAATGAGAATTTAGATAATTTCTGCCTTAAAAAAATCAATAGAAGACCCTGAAGGCTAAACCTGATAGTCGCACATCTTGTCCCAGAGTTGAAATCTACCAGTTTCTGTGATTCAGATCTATCAGAATCTGTGATTAAATGATTCAATTCCTTATCCTTGCCACGCTCCATCCATCTACCTCACTCCATGAGTGCCTCCTGAAGGTGAAGGCGGTGGAGACCTCTGGGAACGCTCAAGTTCTCCGTGTTTTTATGGTTCTCACTCATCATCTGCTTGATTTTCCTTTGCTGTGTCAGTGCAGATGGAGTCCCAAAGGCAGTCCTGTCTTAAAGAAGAGGCTGGAACATGCCTGCTGTATTGGAACATAATTGCTAGGAAGGCTGTGGGATCTCTCACACTGGAGTGAGAGTTTAAATACCTGGTTGGCATGGCAAAGAGTGTTGCTTTGGTGACCAGATAGTGAAATGGGTGTTCTGCTTTTGCAGATGAGCTTCCCCATTGCTGTTGCTGCCCCAGTCCAGGTAGCTGCTCTGTTGGTGGGAAGCTTAGATGTCAGCTGTGCTGAAGTGGGAAGGGGAAAGTACTGTATCTAGTCCCTATTCTTTCAAATCTATCCTATCTCATCTTCTTCCCTGTTCTTGTCTTCCTCAGTTCGTTATGCAGCCCTCTGTCCTCCATTCACAACCCACCGCCCACACCACTAGAAATGTTCTTACTGTCTTAAACTCTAAGGAACCATACCACAAAATATACTTTGAGGGTCAGAAATCTCAGATGTAGCAGCAAGTAATGAAATTATCTGCCATCTGTGTTTGTGTTGCCAGGAGAAGTGAGGGTTGCTCAGCCAGGGACTTTCTTTTATTGTGAAGACCTATTCCAGCCCTGTTTTCTTCAGTGTCACATATGAACCAGTCCTTCTTTCTTGGCTGTGCAATGAAAAATAAGCCAGTAAACATTTCACTTAGCACCTGAATAATAAAAAGTGAAGCTAGACTTATGGGAGAGGGCTTGATTTTTGTTGGCATGCTGACTGAATGGCAGTGAGTCATTGAGATAGCTCCTAAAGATCTAAGTCAAGGACAGTTCCCCAAGGTTGAAATGTAGGTGCTCTTAGATGTGAAAGATCTATGCGGTCTTTACAATGCAAAACAAAACAAGGCCACAAAAAGAAATATGTTGAGAAGGAAAAATGAGAATTTGTGTGTAAACCAAATGTGCTGTAGAGCTGTGTTGATCTCCAACACAAGATCTGGAGAGACTTGCTCAGGGCACTTCACATGGCATTGTTAAATGTATCTGCATTACTGTGAATCTCATAATCTATATGTTCTCATTAGTAAAGGTTTGAGACATCGCTCAGGTCCACAGAGGTAGTTCCCGCTGGCATGGCTCTCAGTGTCCCACATAATCACATTCTCACAGTAGTAAAGCGGAAATTTTTCAGAAGAGGAATCCTGCTATCAGTAATACCAATCAAGCTGAAGGAGGGGAAAAGAAAAAAAAAAAAGGATTAAAACCCAGCTTTTGTTCTTTTGAATCATATTTTTCCATTACTGTTGCTGATAATGCAGAAATCCAAATTGCTTTGTCCTGTGTTTTCCTTTGTTAGTGTGCAGTTATACCAGCCTCTGAGGTGGAATAAAAGTCCTTTGTAAAACTCCTGACTTGTGATTAAACAATGTGCTGGCAATAGCCAGCAGTGACCTGAATGGATTCAATGAGAAGATGTTTTATTGGGGCAGTAGTGACTAAAGAAGTAGTATGGGAAGACAGATATTTGTTCTGAGAAATATTTAAGTTCTTTTTGCTGAGTTTCGAATCCAAAAAACGATGGTGCTGAAAGGAAGATAGGCTGAAGATTAGAAATAACTTGTCCTTCTGCATAGGTTGCTACATAAAGGCAGCTCATAAGTAACAAACCCACAAACACTGCATAGCATCTTTTGTCATTTGTATAGTGGTAACAAAAAGAAATTCAGGTTTCAAAGGAAATTTTACTTTCCTGTTCCACCTAAATTCACCTCTTTCTTCCCCTCCCCTCACTCTCCCCCCATAATTCTGAGGAAGTGTCCACTTTCTTTATTGTGATTTAGCCGAATTTCCTAAATATCACACATTTTTTCTTCCAAAAGACTGAAACATTTTTTTCTTGAAACAACATAGTCGCTTTAAAATGTATCCCCCACCTATCCCTAATCCCCCAACCATCTCCAAGGGTTTAGGAGAGGAAGATCTACTTTCCTTTTCCCTCCCTGGTTCCAAACTCCTTTGAACTCCCTTTTGATCTTCAGTCTGGCATGCAGTTCATGAGACTGCTGCTGCAGGCCTCTGTTAGTAAGAATGGAAGAGTTTGGTTAAATGAGTTTTAGAATCCTTTCAGGAGAAATGTAGAGCATGCCTACAGAACAGGTTTCATAGAGCAAAGTGATCTGTTGCCTGTCAGAGCCTAGATACTGAGGATGTGTCAATTGGGTAGGTGATCTGCACAATTGCCACAGGTTTGCACTTAAAAGTCATGTGGTATGTGGTGTGATTAGAGCAGAGCAGAGTCCAGGTCTAAGGCACAGTCCATCCATATGTGACTTTCTGTCGTGGAGCAAGAGGAAAAAGAATAAGTCCAGGCCAGGGCATCAACTAAATTCATCAGTTCATGTCAGTGCTCCCCTTTTCATCTTGTGGCTTTCCACCTACTCTGTTCTATCTGCCAGTTAGAATAGCAGAGCGTTAAGTAATGATTCAGCCACATGGCATTTTTTAAACTTCATCGTAAAAAACTGTAATTGCAGTGCATATTTTTTGTTGATGCAATGGCTCCAGGTTTAGACATAGCACTCTGTTCCACCCTGTAATAGTCCATAGTAAAGTTCTCAAGGCAAGGCAGGAATGGAAACAGCGGAGCTCTGTCAAGAAGCACATACGCAATGAGATGGTTGTCTTTGAATATAAAACATCTGAAGTGCCTGAAAGCATGTGAAGTGTCTCATCTCACCAACTCTGATAAACAACAGAAACACATTTCCTATTGATTAACCTTAGGCCAATGTCTTTGCTTCCCACTGCCTTTACTCACCACCCTCTCATCTCATATCTGTATGACTTGTTGTTTAGACTCAGTGCAA